TAATAGAATATAATCATTAGGCTATGTATGATTTTTTTTTTTTACAGCTAGACTACTGTGCGTCACCTTGTAAATGTATTAGTCTGAGTTGTTAATAAAGTGCAGAAAATGGTTCAGATAATGTGCAGACATGATGTGAAAGAGAGAACTAAAAGCAGAATGTGAGGCTGGAATGAAAGTTGGTATCAGTCCACTAAAAGGATGCGTTCAGAATTAGCTGCATGAGAGCCTTTCCGCCTATGGACGTCCACCATGACAGTGAAGCTGATGGAGCTTTTTACCGCCAAGATAAAAGGGGCTTTAGCACCAACTATTACCATTAGCGGCAATTCAGTTTCCTACAATCAGTTCCTAGAGGAGGTAAATCCAGCTACAGTTCACTTTTTATAGACTCAGATTTAACCTTTTATTCTCACAAAACACAGCAAATATTGTAAGGCTGTTTCCAGAAAATTAAATCTTTTATTTATTTCCGTAATTCACTTTATATTCCATATTTGATGAGTTCCTTTGTAATTTCAACAGATAAAGCTTAAAAAATGCTTAGAAAATAAAGTTACATGGTCACTTTTAAAAGGCTGACAACTTCATTGTTTGCAAATCCATCTTTTTGTAGTTCAGTCATTTAATTAAAAAGCTTATTTAGTTTGCGGCTAAACTTTGACTACACGTACAGAGAGATAGAGATCACATGGCATGCAGCGCCTCGATGAGCTGCACTGCGACTCTCAGTCAGGGTCTCATTAATAATAAATGTGGAGTCTCTCCATATACGTTATTTTTATTTTTCTTAAGGCTTCAAAGATAACTAAACACTTTGAAACGCTTGATTCCTGCTTCTGTCAACAGGGAAGGCGCAGTCATGTTGCAGAATCCTTGAGGTTGGGCAACAGAACCAAGGTGAAAAAAAAAAGATGTCATCTTGTCTTGGCTTTGATCCGCTGCTGAGCTGTCTCAACTCTCGACTTCAAAATCAACTTCAGATGCTCTGGGCGACATTAACCTCCTATAGATTCTTCCCTTTTTTCCTCGTTTCCCTTCTTTACTTCTGTATCTGGATGCAGTTCAGCCGAATCAGTTCCAAAAGAAATGTAAATAAATAATAATAATCTGCGCTCGATTGTTTTCACACACGGTGGTCCTGCTCATCGTGCAGCAGGTCTTCCTTCGTCAATCTGCTGCTCATTTTTGGACTGTTTTAGTGTGAGGGATGTTTGTTCTTCAGGTTTGGTGTCGCCTTCCTCACATCTGCTTGGCTGCTTTTAGATAAACAAAAAAAAAA